TCTTGGAGGTTTTGTTCTGTCTTTTTAAGCTTTTCTGTGTTTTTTTTTGGTTTGAGTTGGGGTCTCACTCTGTCGCCCAGACTGGAGTGCAGTGATCGCTCCCAGCCACCGCAGCCTCGACCTGCTGGGCTCCAGCAATCCTTCCGGCCTCAGTCTTCCAAGTAGCTGGAACTACAGGCGTGCGCTACCACGCCCGGGTAATTTTTGATTTATTGTAGAGATGAGGTCTCACCAAGTTGCCCAGGCAGGTCTCGAACCCTCAGGCTCAGGCAATCCACTCACCTCAGCCTCCCAAAGGCATGGGATTACAGGCTGAGCCACCAAGCCCGGCTTCTTTTCTGTGTTTTTGACAGTTTGATTTAGTTCCATTTTTTGGTCCTCAGTCACTGAGATTCTTTCTTCTGCTTGGTTAATTCTGCTTTCCATGCTTATCAGTTTGTTATTTATTCATTCACTGTATTCTTTATTGCTGTTATCTCGGTTATCAACTCCATTCTTTCCTCTCATTTCTCCTCAATTCTATTTATTCTCTCTATTAATATCTTGACATCTGGGTTTATGGGTTGAGACCAGTCATTCTGGGGACTCTTCATTGTTTGAGTAAAGTCTGTATTCTCAGTGGGTGACCTCCCAGGGGTCTGTGTGAGATTCATATTCTTCCTTTGGCTTTTCATCATTTGTGTATGTTTTCCTCCCCCGCCCCCTTTTTAACCTCTTCTTTACTTCTGTTCAGTGATGTTTTATTTCCATTTGCTCGATCTCCTATTCTTCCTTATATAGATCCTCTGGTTTTGTTCAATTCTGAAGCTGGACTGTGGGTGGGGGCCTGACTTTTTTTCAGTTTTGAGATTTAATTAAGGGGGGAACTGTGTTTCAGAAGCTATCTGCAGATCCCAGTATCCACTGACAGGTTTGGGCCCCCTGGAGCCCACTTTCTAGTGCCATACAATCTGTCCATGAGGTGGAGGTGTCTGTTTGCCCCCTGAAAGCAAAATGAGATAAGAAAAGGGAAAAGAGTGGAAAAAGGAAGGACGAAGATGAAAGGAAGGTGGAGAGAGAGAAGAAAAAGGCAGAAAACAGACAGGCATACCAACTAACAAATAATCAGAGAAACAAAGACAGAAAAAACAAAAAAGAAAAAAATAAGACAATTATACAGAGACCCCCCCCGTTGGTGTACTTTCCCTCAAAAATACCCATAACAACAACAACAAAAAAATAAAATAACAGAAACAAAGCAAGTACAAAAACATAAAAACAGGAAGAAGAGAAAAAGCAAAAACTAAAACCAAAAGCAAACAAGAAGAAAAAACTCGCTCTGTGGCCGTTTCTGTAACTTCAGGTTCCTGCTGCCACCTCCGCCTTAGGTTGTGGCTTTGGTCTCCAGCCTCTCCCCTCTGCTCTCAGCACAGGCTGATAGGGTTGCTTTCAGCATGGGTCAGATGCCCTATGGACTACTGTGGGAGGAGCATGGATCAGATCTGGACTCTACTCGCTGCTGCTACTGTCAAGTCTCCCACTCAGATCTGACGTGTTAGTGCCAGTTCTAGCTTGGGGGGGGTATCTGTCTCTCTGAGTTCGATGAGAGGATAACCTCTGGGTCCCAGAATGGAGGCTGGGTGGAGCTGGGTGGGACAATGCAGGTCTCCGCCAAGACCCAGGACTGAGAAGATGGTGCCTGTCAACACCAGTATTGGAGCTTTATTCTAGATTTCCATGACCTGTCTTCTCCATGGTTCCTCCTGCTCATGCCTGGTCTGCTGCTGCAGGTGTTGGCGTGGGCCGGGTGCCAGGTAGTGAGAGGCAGCTGTTTTCTGCTTCCTCCTCTCAAGAGAGCCCAATAATGGCAGATGATCCTGTACACCCAGGTCTCCAATCTCAAGGTGGTGATGGGTTGCAGTCACCTCTGGAGGAGAGCCCTGGGTGCATGAACCTAAGTCTCCCCTCATACGAACTTTCGCTCACATACTGGCACACCCACTCACACAGAGAGTCTTTATGGACACTTGCTTTTGTGTAGACTCTCACAGTCTGACCTGTTCGGTCGCCGTCTTGCCTGGAAGCCTAACAGACTGTTTTTAAGAAGGAAGCAAGCCAAGCTCGGTGCCTCATGCCTGCAATCCCAGCACTTTGGGAGTTGGAAGTGAGAGGATTACCAGGGGTTAGAGACCAGCCAGGGCAACTTGACAAGACCTCATCTCTAAAGTATATCCAAAAATTAGCAGGATGTGGTGTCGTGCATCTATAGTTCCAGCTACTTGGAAGGCTCTATAAATGTTTCTTAACTATTTGAGAGTAAAGCGCATATATCACTACCCCTAATACATTTGTATTTCCAAGAATAAGGATTTAAAAAAAAATTTAAGAGCTTAATTTAAGAACTTAGATTAAGAATTTAAATTTTTAAGAATTTAATCTAGCTGGACTCGGTGGCTCAGCCTGTAATCCCGTGCCTTTGGGAGGCTGAGATGAGTGGATTCCCTGAACCCACGGGTTCAAGACCCGCCTGGGCAACTTGGCGAGACCTCATCTTTACAATAAATAAAAAAATCAGCCAGGTGTGGTAGCACATGCCTGTAATCCCGGCTACTCGGAAGGCTGAGGGGGAAGGATCGCCGGAGCCCAGCAGGTCGAGGCTGCGGTGGCCGGGAGCGGCGAA